CAGGGGGGCGGGCGGGGCAGCGGGCTCGCTCTACAGTGACATCAGCACAGGCCTGACGTGGCGATCTGGCACCACCAGCTCAGTGTCTTACCCAAAGCAGATGCCATTGTCCCAAGTCTGAGCAGAGGGAAGGAAAGGGGGGCGAAGAGGCCAAGGGCTGCCAAGGGACACTCCAGGGGCTGATGTTCCCACCCCATAACTGGGTTTTGTTTTGTTTTTTTGGTGTGTGGTTTTTTTGTGGTTTTTTTGACTGCTATTAGCATGATAATGAACTCTTAATGGTATCCATTAGCTGAGACTTAAATGACTGGCTTAGAACAAAGTACCTGGCATTGAGGACTCCCAGACCCAGCCTCCTTTCCTCCACTGATATTCGAGAAGCTCCTCACGGGAGGCGGAGGCGGGAGACGTTCATTTCAATTGGCAAGGAAGGGTGGACTCTCCAGCGTTCCCAGAACCCAAGGCTTGGAGCCCTCCTTGGTTGCCATTCGTGGAACTTGAAGCCAGATCTACAGATTTTTACCAGAGGGACCTATTTTTCTCCTATGTAAACTCTTACTCCTTATGCATCCTAAAGGAAGGATGATCGAAACCTAATTGGATTGAGTGGTTTGGGTATTCTTAATGACCAGGCAAATGCCTTAAGTAAATAAACATGAAATGTCTTAATTATACACCCCAAGTAAATACGGGTTTCTTACATTAGAGGATGTATTTATATAATTATTTGTTATGTGTAAAAAATGTAAAATATGTACATATCCAGAGATATACAGTCTGTACATTTTTTGTAAAAAGTTTAGAGGTCATTCCTGTAAGAACAAATATAAGTATTCTATTTTGTCAATAAAATGATTTTTGATAAATGATTTAAACATTGCCCTCTCCCCCTAACTCTTCTAAGCTGTTACCTTTAAAGTGTTTGCTAAGAACATGTTGGAAAAATGGACCCTTTCTGGTTTCTCTGTACACTGATCTTAGATATGGAGAAAATGGCCTGTTAATTCTAGTTCTTAAGTTGTTAGTAAAGTAAAAATCACTGTTGAACTGAAATCAAAACTGAGTTTTGCACCCTCCAAAGAGATGGTGTTTTTAATGGTAGCTCTTTTTTGATCCGTGGAAAACGCTCACCTTAGCATGTGTATATGGACTACTGCAAGGAAGTAATTCCACTCAGGCCTTGTTATTTATCTTGTATAATATTACTAAATGATTTACCCCACATTTTTTTTCTCTCTAATGTCCATGATTTTGAAAGCACCTGGACTGAACATACTTTTGAAGTGTAAAGGTGAATGTTTTAAACCCTCAGAATACAGTGTACAGTATGTATAAGTCACTTGACACTCTGTAGTGGAACAGGCACCCTTAATGGATTAAACTAATGGGTTAACATCTTAATGACCTTCCAGGCTTGTGTATATCAAATGTGCTGCTTTTCCTAGAGAAAAGGCTATTGTTCTTCTGTCAACACTAAACTAATTTATTTGAGCAGAAGGCTGTTGAATTAGCAGAAGAATGCTTTGGCAATTGTTGAACTTTTTACCTGTCTGCCCAGTGGCCCAGCACATCATTTCTTTAAGAGGAGCTAAATGAATAGTGTTAATCTGTAGGGAACTTGGTCTTTTGAGTTTGAAAAACTTTGATCTTTTCTCTCCAAATGTGCTGTAAAACTGAAGTTTCTTTAGCTGTTGCCAGGCTCTTCTTGGTACATACCAATTGGCCACCATGGAGCCTTAAAGTTCTTCCATTAAAGGGATGTGGTGGGACTTTTACTTTAAAAGGGAGAGAGCTCAGGAGAGGAAGACTTGTAACAGTGAAGACCAGAAGCACAAGTATGCTCAGCCTTTTGAACAGCTTTTCCAGGCATTGTTAGCCAGCCTGCAGGCAGCTAGGAATGGGTTGAAGCATCATAGAAAAGGGCTCTGAATGCCCTACAGGTGGTCTGCACACATAATCCCCCAATTTAAAGCATTTTCCTTTGCTGGACAATTGTATTACAAAACTCCCTTCTTTTTTGCTCCTAATTGAACCAATGAACTATTTATTATACATTACAAGTTTTTCCTTTAAAATAAAATAGAAAACCCTCAGCACCTAAATTTTATTGACTAAATTCTGACAGGTTTTCTGAACTGAACCTTTAAAATCACACCAGGAGTAAAATCTTCAGCAGACATTTCTCTTTTTCATATATTTTTATTTCTCATGCTTATTATTTTCTGACAGATTAGCAATAATTTAAAAGTAATTGGTAAGGTTGTATGTTCATACTGAAAAGATAGCCCCAGGTCCCTTATTAACCTGTCAATCAAGATAAGAAATGGGCAGCTACCCTGCTAATGATGGGGACATCAAACTGTGAGGTGGGGAACTTACTCTCTGCAGCCTGCTAAGATGTTTGTTCTCTTTAGTTTTCCTAATAGGAATATTTAGTGGTTTTAAAAAATATTTTTTAATTAATAGGACAGAAACTACTTTCCTGGCTTATCTTGGAGTCTTTTAAGAAGTTTCTTGGTAAAAACATTTTGCAAATCCTTTCCAGAGTCATTCTTGGTGTTAATTGAATTGTTGAAATTAGATATGCAATAAGAACACCCACTTTAGCTGTCATGCTGATTTTATTTTTTTAAGTCAGAGGCACTGTAAAATACCTCCCAGAAGTTTTATTCATTAAAAAATTACAATTTTGTAACTTAGATTCCAGTAAGTGGCCTGCATCTAACCCCGTGTGGTGATCACCATGTGGTTTATGTACTGTATATAAACCATCCATAAACATTACATTTTCAGTTATAAAGTAGGATTTGAGGGCATCCCCATAATCTACCACATATGTTGGATGGAGGAAGAGCTAAAAGTCACTAGTTAGCATGTGGGTTTTCTAATGTAGCAATATTTCCATTATAAGACCCATTTTCAACTATGTGACAGTGGAAAATGTTCCACTTTGAAGCTCTATTTCTTTATTAATTTCTTCAATATATCCTTGTAAAATGCCATATTTGATAACATACAAAATGGTTGTAAGTGTGCTAAATATAAACAAGCTTAATAAACAAAAAAGCCCTATTGACATTCTGGGGACAGCTCTCAGTAAAAAGGCCCATACCTATAATAACTAGAAGCTGATATTAAAACACAAGTGCCAGTTCTTTGCCTTTAAAGCTAAACCTTGAGTTGCAAAATTACTAATACTCAAATGTATCTATTAAGGGAATAGAAAACCCAAAAATGATTTGGGGTAGAAAATGAGAAGAGTATTTGGCCATTAGACAAATGAATGGGTCCCTTGCCAGGTGTGCTATACAGGTGTGTGCTTACCAACTATATGGGACAAGTGTTAGTTTTTTAAAATCTTTTCAAATATGGGGGATCAAGCGGGGATGTAGTTATTTTGTGGCTAGATCAATGTAAAAAAAAAAGTCTAATATGGTTAAAAACATTAAAGCCAAAGCCCTTTAAAATTACTATGGCAGAAGTTATGTGAAACACTTTTTACTTTATAGTAAATGCAATTTGAATGTAACAAAACAGAAGGGGGGAAATGTAGAAGTTTAAGGAACAAACTGTCACCAGTACAGTTTAAATTTTTTAAAATACATTTTTATTGGTTTCAGAGAGGAAGGGAGAGGGAGAGATAGAAACACCACTGACAAGAGAGCATCACTGATCAGCTGCCTCCTGCACGCCCCTACTGGGGATCGAGCTGGAAACCCGGGCATGTGTCCTTGACGGGAATGGAATCCTGGACCCTTCAGTCCACAGGCCAATGCTCTATCCACTGAGCCAAACCAGCCAGGGCACCAGTACAGTTTCTTAATATGTGTTGATGGCGTTGCAGATTCCTATAAATCCTTCAGAGTTTGGGGGAAGGAATTCAGATTGTCTCATCAAAAAGAAAAAAAAAATCACACAAAGAGACAAAAGCAGTTTCAGAGCACAGGATGCAATTTAAAGTGCAGGGGCAAACATTCAGTTGAGACTCCAAACTGCAAGTGTAGTGATACTATACTGCCACCTTGTGGTACCACAAAGTTCCAGAACCAGGGGATGAGCCCCACACAGACGCCACCCAGAGAAGGGCCTGCAAGCATTTTGTATTCATAATTTTGAATTCTTTCTCTCATGAACAGGAACCCCAAATTTAATCAGTTTAGGGCCCCACAAGACTAATTGAAGTAAATCTTTAATATTAAGGGTTATAGTACAAATATAACTAAGCTGTGTTGAAGTCCAAAGGTTTAATTTCTTAAAAATTATCTTCTGAGTTACTTTTTTTCAAGAATGGGCTGCTTCCCAAAGATCCACTATACCTTTTGATGGGAGAAGGAATGAGTTTGGAGTCATGAAGAATAGTCTGAGATGGCATGTAGTTGACTTGGCTATTTAAATGTGTTACTTTACTCTTTCCCATATAAAGTCTATCTACTGAGTCAAGTGGACACTCTTCAGTGCTGCACGTGAATACTGTTGGGATGGGTAAGATACAGGCTCTCCACAATATCTAGCCAGGTGTTTGTGGAAACACACCAAAGAATGGAAACTGTGCTGCAAAACAAGGTCACCCAAAAAGGAAGAGAAGAGGAGCATGTGCTGTGGAATACTTGAGTGCTGTGGGAGAAAGATTTCCATAACATAGTTGCGTGGGAATTCCAGGCCTTTAATAGGTACATACGGAGAAGAGGCAGCCTCACAGAGCCCATGGCTGGACTTCCTGTTCCTGAGGGTCAGGTGGCCGGTGGAGATTAGAGGGGAAAAAGAAGCACTGGTCAAAAGGATGCAGACTAAAGATCTTAGAGGTCTTATATTATTGCAAATGTAGGCAGCAGCAGAGAGCAGGTGAACTGGCCCAAGTCAGCCAGGGGCCTGAGAGGCAAGCTTTGCTAGCAGCCTCTGAGGCTGTGTGTTCAGATATCCCTATCATGATCATGGAATTTTAAAGACAAAGATCCCAGGGGCCATCAAGAATCTCACTACTCCATAAACAAGTAGCAGAGGCAAGACCTAGCAGTGTGATGGAAATATAGACTCTCAGGTCTTGCTCACTGAATCAGTAGATGTATTTTAATAAGATCCCTAAGTGTTTAACACAGATTAGCCCTACGCTGAAGCCCAAAGAGGACTGGACTTGCCGAAGATCATACATACAGCCCAGAGCAGGGTAGGGCCTGGAAGACATGGATCCTACTTGTCACTCCTATTTCTGCCTTTCCCAGCTGTAAATCCCTTCAGCCACCACTATGTGCATTTTTCCCTGAACATCAACTGACCTAGTTGTTCAACCATGTCTACCTAGTCCCAGAATCACACCAGAGTACAGCTTTCCCCATGGTTGGTGCTGACCTACACAGGAATATCTGAGGAGCTTAGTGAGGAGCTACCTGGATGTGACCTGGATGAGAGAACTCTGTTGCTGATAGCTAGAGTTCGTACTGGGGAACGGGGCCAGAAGTGGAATCATCTGCCTTGGTCAGCAGAGGCTTAGGAGCCTTTCAGGGAGAGCCTGGCCAGGACCAGGGCCAGGGAGGAAACCAGACAGCAGAGCCACTGGGCAGTGAAGCCAGGGCAAGCAGGGAGCATCATGGAAATCTCTGGAATGAGAGAACAAAAAAAAAAAAAAAAAGGAGATTAGCTCTGCTGATTTAAACAGCAGACCCTGGGAGATGACCTAAGGAAATGCGTGGTACCTGAAAAGGGAAAATGGCCAGAGAAGGATGGAAGTAAAGGTGCAAAAGGAATAAATTTGAACACCAAGTTTTAATGGCTTTACAAGCCTTTGGGAGAACCATTATTCACAGAAGACAAAAGTACCTATTTAGCCCTAGCGATTAGCTCTGCTGATTTAAACAGCAGACCCTGGGAGATG